GCAAATGAGCTGTGTAATGGAGGGAAATATAATGCTGTATATCTGCCAAATCCGTTAGATGAGATTTGCAACCAACGTCAAATGTAAATTTGTGTATAATCGGGAATGTAATATTCTTACTTTAATTCATACAATTAAGTATGTCTTATTAATAAGTGGTATTTTTGTATTGAGCTTAGTAGTGCAATAAAATATATGCAAAATACAGTATATTAAAAAACGAAGATACGTTTCTTAGCACAAGTATTTCACATTAATATTTATGTGAAAGTAAGACTAATTTTCTTTAAATGTATAATGTGTAGCTAGTTAAAACACGCTAAGACATAATATATATATATATATATATATATATATATATATATGTTACTTTATTACTTTATTACTTTATTACTTTTGTTGTTGAATAAAATAGTACGTGTAACAGTGATATTTATATTCCAAACCTCATACAAAAACTGTTCTTGCATTAAAGTGGTAAACTAGATCCAGAATAATTTATGTACTCTAAACACAAGGAAGTGCTGACAAGACACTGACTTCTAAATCGTTAAATCATTATTGATCGTTGTAGTATTGTAGATTGCTTTCCGTTGGTCGTTGGCCATTGGTGCTTTTCCAGACTGGGTGAATTAACTTGACAATGAGATTCATTATTCATAATGCATTTGCAGCATTGGTGCAATGAAACGCCTCTACGAGCACATCTGAGTTTCCTTCTACCATTAATCTGAGAAATTCTCAAACCAACGTTGGCATAATAACGTCTTGTAATAAAATCTAAATAAGTTAATTAAGGGGGCAATTACACTGCATTACGATGTTGAGGAAAAGTAATTAGTAGAATATTGTGGAGAATAGCAATAGCGTGAAAACTTAATCTCCTTCTTTGTTTGTTTTGATTTAGTTTGAATTACATGCAATAGCCTAGGCGATCCAAAATTGCCTCTTGCCTCTATTTTCACGCATTCCCGCGCCCCTTTGCCTCATTCTCTTGATCCCGTCTCTGCGGCATCCGGCTCTATCAGTTTCGCCTCGGCTGGCCACCCGCGTTCCATTTTCACCCGCGCCCCCTCCGCCCCCTCCTTCGCCCAGCCGCCGCCCC